TCGCAGGGGGGGGGGCGCATCGGTTGGGCCAGAGAATAGGCTTCTCGGGGATGCGATCCTCCATTCAATTCCCATTGGACGGGGCGGCATTATTACACCGCTGTGGACGGGGGCCTTTCGCTTTCATTGTCCTGCTGAAATGGGCCAATGAAGACCCATTTAAAAAAAAAAAAAAAAAAAAAAAGTACACAGGAGATTGACTCCAAAGCAGATGGATGGAAAACCAAAACGAAAGGTCGCCGACTGGGCAAAAGAAAACAGTCGAGTAAAAAAAGGTTTGACGGCACGGCGCCCTTTGGGTAACGTGTGATTTAGTCGCCGCTGCAATTTAGATTCGCTCTTCGAAAAGCGCTCCAACGCCGTGTCGCCCGTAGCTCTTTCGTGTCGGCGTCGCAGAGGAAGAGTCGAGCGCGGACATTTCGCGGGAGGGAAGCCGGATGCGTTGCCTTGGGCTAAACGAGGGGAGTTGCGTTTTGAACGACGACCGCAGTCTATTCATTGGGCCGAAGCGGACTTGACGGGAGCCGATCAAGGAGGACACTTCTGTTGAGAAGAGATTTCAAAGAACGGAAGGACAGGCGCCGTCGGTTGCAATTGGCTGCAATTTGCCAGCCCGCCAGTTGATAAGCAGCAACGCTTCCGGGAGAATGTCTCGTGGACAGACGAGACCCAACTGGAACTTTTGGGCAAAGCAGAAGAGATCAACGTTCGCTGCCACACAAACTTAGCGGACCACGAAAAGAACGCCATCCCTGCTGTGAATCGCGGACGAGGCTCCGTAAGGTTTGGCCTCATCGGTGTGTACGGAGGCGCCCCCGTGCGGAAACGCTCGGCCCGAGTGGCAGGTCTCCTCTAGCGGCTTCTCGGAACCTTTGGACGGCGAGCTGGAGCACGGCGGCAGATGACCGCGTGCCCCGACCCGGCCCCATCTTAGCCCCAACAACGACCCGGCCGTTGGCCCGAGCCGCTTTCACGCCCAATTGTGGCAGCCGCCCGTTCCAAACGGGTGTTTGATGAGCATTCAACCTCAACCGTCCCAGCCTTGTCGGCAGCCATAAAGTTTGTTTTCTTTGTGGTAGCTTCCATTAAAAATGGCGATTGATCATTTCATTGCGTTCCCTTTGTAATTCCGTTGAACACCACTTTGGTGCAATCGGATCCGTCCGTCCGTGGGGAATTACACTCGCTGTCTTCGCTGCCCTTTTGGGAGCTTGCTACGCGTCGCCGCGTAAGCGCGCTATTGTGCATCCTCTCATTCTCAATGCATGACTTCCCAGCGGTCGCTATGAGATCAGCTCTCGCCTTCAAACTAAGTTCAATGTCTGCGGGACTCCTAAATGCGTCATTGTTACAGCGGGCAGGTTTCCCTTTTGTGTTCCGGGGCCGCCCCGTGCCCCCAGGAAGTCCGACTGTGAAGAGGCCAAAGAGCAGAGACTGAGAACCGGCAAATCCTTTGCGGCCACGGAATCAACGGTGTGACGCGGCCGCCTCTCTGAGTCGGCAGGTCAAAAGCCGCCGAAAAGGAGGGAGGCCGGGGGGGCCGCGGGATCAAGGCTCGGCTTCCTCTGTCGCTCAGAAACGCTGGTGTGACTCGAGCGCAGGTGGAGGACTGGCAGGCAGCAAAACAGCCCAATCGCTCTTCTTCCCCGCCGAACGGAACGCCAGCGATTCAGTGATTCTTCTCCACGGTGACGACGCAAAACTTGGGCCGAGATTTTTCATTTCAATTTGAGACGGGAGAGGCGAGCGGCCATCGAGGGCCCTCGCGAGGGCCGGCCACGTTGGGGTACTGGCGCATTGGGATCGCAAATGAAGTACAAACGGTTCCACCTCAATACCACCTCCATTCCGGGCCCAAAAAGGGGCAAAAATGGAAAGGACATTTGAAATGAGCCCGATGTCGCCCCCCCCCCCGGCGAGCCCGGCGTGCACGAGCGCGGTGGGGAAGCCACGGCTGCTTGGAAGCGACGCGCACCCCGGGGCATTTTACCTTTTTGTCTTTCATGCTTCCATCCGGATTGAGTCGAAAGCCGCCGACGCGGATGGTTCTCTTTGGATCCACCTGCTCGATGGAGTGATTCAATTCATCGACAAGTGCGCGGCAAGCTGGAAAAAAAAAAAAAAACATAAAACACGGGTGATAAATTCAGTAAGACGATGGAATCGGGCTGCCGGAAGTCTTCCGTTCGTGTACGATACCTCTTAGGATGGGTGGCACGGAAATGGCCGTTCGAATGAGCAACGTAGCTTAATAGATTGCGCAAGCGGAATCATGTGAGCATCGCAGAGTCAAATGCAGTACGGGATCATGTACATACAGCGTTGGGAGTAACGCATTACAAAGTGGACATTTCTCACATCGTATTACGATTCCTGAGCCTCGTGACGCACTCCAATGTCAGGGCCGCGTTCGGTGCTTTCACGCCACAGCGGGCACGCCACATAGCTGAGAAGTCATCGCTGGTGTCCGACCAGCCACCGTCACGGATTTAGCAAGTCAAACGGATTTGAGGTACAAAGTACAAGCAGGAACGAAGCTAAAAAGATTTGGGAGTGAAAACCACCAAGCGGAAATCCAGCATGAAAAAATGTTTTCAACAAAAAGATCAAAAGTAAAGCGGCCGCCGAAAACAACAATGCGGCAACACAATAAACTTTTGAACAACTTCTGCCCTTTTTTTTTTTTTTTTTTTTGAATGGGACACAACAGACGATTGTCTAAAAAAGTGATTTGTGATATGCACTGGCTTTTAGCATAGCGACCTCGCCACTCATCGCCCAGAAGAAGTCATTATATTTCAGTGTCATTTGAGTGACATAACGGTTACTCATGTTAAAAAGTCGCTTTGCTCAACAGCGCACGAGGGTGACAGCTTGAGCCGTCCGTCTATGGACAATTTGTTTTGAAATTCCAAACCGAAAAAGACTTTGGCAGTTCATAAGACCAGACATCCGCCGACGCTATCCGGTCGCAGACTAAACAGCTGTGGGGATCCCGCTCATCCATCAGACCGCGTTCAGTCACTTTGAGGATTGAGGATGACGGCGGCGGACGAACTCGTACGACAATGGAACGTACCAGAACAGTACAGCGTCGGGTCCCTCTTGGCCTGGTAGCGGCAGACGAAGAGAAACGTCACAGTCATCCCGAGAAGCCATCGGCCCATTGCGGCTGGGTGACCTAATGAGAGCACGTCCCAGTCTTTGTTTGGGGAAACCTTTCAAGCAGCGTGCATCGCCGAGTCGAAAAAAGCAGGGGGGGCGTTGCATTGTGAATTAAAACACTATTTTCAACTCGGGATTCCATTTGCTTTTTTTAAAAATTATTAGTAATATTATGAGGCACGTGAACACAGCTGTTGCTGGCTTTCTAATGAAGTAGTATCTTCGGGGTGATTTCTTTGTGTGTGTGTGTGTGTGTGTGTGTGTTTGCTTCAAAACAAACAGTTTTGCAAATATGTAATCAACATTTTTATGGATGAATACTACATCCTCTATTGCAGCGGTCCCCAACCTTTTTTGCCCCACGGACCGGTTTCATGTCAGACAATATTTTCAGGGACCGGCCTTTATGGTGGGTCGGATAAATACAACAAAATAATCTGATATGACCTGCATGAAAAGTGTGGTATTTTCCAAACATAATAATAAACACGAATCACGGTGCGAGGAACGGCCTATCTGGGCGCAACACTCTTTGGTCGCTACGACAACGTTTAAAAGTGCCTTCAAAATAAGATACAAAGTGCGTGAAAAGTACGACTCACCATCACCGCATATTATGCAGAGTGGGCTCGGTGCGTGGGAATCTCCCGTTGAGATAAATCCGTATTTGAAGTAGGACACCGGATACTGTCTATTAAATGTAGCCTTCTTTTTCTTAAAATTCGTATGCTCCTCTTCTGTCTCCTGGCTGGGCCTTTTCCCCTTCCCAAAGAGGGTTGTTTTTTTTTTACTCATTTTGCTACCTCCCGGATTTCATTTTAGCGGTAACCTATCACGTGACTGAAAAGCGCGCCTTGACCTGCGTCAAGAGTGACATACTGTAGACGGATGGAACAAAAAAATCCGGTAATTTTTCAAAATAAAACAGCTTTCAGGTTCCAAAATAAATAAAACGGAAGTAATGCAAGTTATTTATTCTTTCTGTGCGGCCCGGTACCAAATGACCCACGGACCGGTACCGGTCCGCGGCCCCGGGGTTGGGGACCACTGCTCTATATGAACTGTCCTGGTTACTTGATGAAAATGATAAACGTGCATAAAAGAGCCTACTTCCAATTTCTTGACGCTCAATGGGCGAATGAAAAATGTCCCCACGACTATTCAATGAAGGCGGCTCTATTTCGCTCGACACAAAGTGATGCTACGCAATTGACGCTTTCGACCGTCATACCGAATCAAACTTTCAAACAAGTTGTATCGGAGTTAGGTGCGTTTCTCATTTTTGTTGGCAGCACGTCTTACAGAGCGAGGAGACGAAGCGGAAGACGAAGAGATGTTCGAAATCAAATCAATGTGGTCAAATCACAACAACGGCCTGTCATCGATTGCATTTGCGGCTTTTACCTGTTTTGCACTTGACACGAACTGTCAAAACGACTTCCGACCATCCCGGGTTTCAACAGCGCGACGCTACATACGTCACTTCCGAAAAACTTTCAGAGAAAAACATGAGTGGAAAAACGGAACGACGTCAGTTGTTTTTGTAAGACCGCCTATACAACACCACGCATATGCCTGAATAGCTATTTGTAGCCCGTCAAACAGGTTATTCTCACTCAAGTTCATTGCGTCAATCCAAAACCCAACCACTTTATTTCGAAAGCACATCGGCCAACGCTCACTCTGCCTACTTCCTTTCCGGTTTGACCGTCTGATGTTGACGCCACCGCGGTGACGTGCTTGACCGTGGTGGAGCCACGTCAAATTAAGACGTAAGCCCGTGAACCAATCGCATTCCGCATCGAAAGACGCCCACAAACGCACCTTTGCTCAAAGGGTCACCCGCATCTTGTCATGGGGACATGTTTTGTCTCAGCCCTCATTTGGACACTGTTCAACCACGAGTCATTCATTCTTCTTCTTCCTCTGTCGGAAGAGCTGAAATATTCTTTAGCCTCCTGAAATAATTTGGGCTTGTTTCTTTTTGTTTTTTCTTTTTAATATGGAACTTGAGTTTTTGTGATGATTTCGTCTTTAGTGTCTGCGCAATTGTATTCGTGGCTGTGTCTGTGCACCAACATCAATCGCACGCGCTAATATTAATTCTTCAAAGAATCGAACAATTACAAAATGATGAAAGGATCTACTTTGCACTGCCATTCGAACGGTGCGCAAGCAAACGTCGATTCATCCACATCATCACTCTTATTAAAAATATGATTCTTTGAAGGCAGCGACCCCCAAACGTTTTATTGCCTCTGACCGTGCGAGAACATAGGACCGGCATCGGAACAGACTTACATCCGTCGGTCATTTTGATCGACTTTGGGTTGGATCTGAGCACAGCGTTTGATTTTTTTTTTGAGCCAATCGTTTGGTTTGTGAACGGAGTTTGAAAATCGGGACTTGAAAATTGGGGCTTTGGTGTTCAGAGTTCAGCAACCGGAACGAAATGTTTCAAGAAATGTTTCTCGGCAAAGAGAGGCAGATCGTGAACCGAGTCATCGCCGGCAAGACAAAATCGTCGGGAAGCCGTCGGACCGGCCGAAGAAGGACAAGGAAAACCGGGCTCCGTGTTGACCTTTAGCGAGACGACAACACAAATGATGAGCTTGTGTAAACCTCATTCTGAATGCGTTAAGACAGCATGGCGGCGCCTCGAAAGGTTGGCTGCATGTGAAATTTCTTTGCTGATGCTACTGAACACAAAGGACATGGGGTTGATGAGTGTGTGTGGGGGGTTGGATGGGGAGGAGGCGGAAGAGGGAACATATTTGGATGTTTTTGGGGGCGGGCGGAAAAGGGGGCACAGAAGCGGCAGCGGATAGAAGGTGGGAGGAGGGTGAATGGTTGCCACCGAAACACGACAGCTGGTCAAAGCAAGAGTTGGACGACTTCATCTGACAAAAGGGATCCGTTTGATCAGTTCCATGTGAAAAGAACCAACGGGGATTTTCAGAGGTGAAATTGTGGCACTGCCCGAATATCGGGATGATCGGAGAAAGCAAACCCGCTCAGTTTCATCCCGGCATAAAAGTGCATTTTTCTCGCAGGTGAATTTTGCTCTGATGGCGCGGCCGTTTCAAAGCCAGCGTGACGGCCAACTCGTCTGCCGGGCCAACCTCCAAAGTCACCCATCAGAGGTGTCATCTGCAATCGGTTCACATTCGCCGCGCGGGGGAATGAACCGTGACGTTTCGGTAGCGCGGCTGCAGATTTGGAATTCAAAGCGTCGAGGACGCTCGGCCGCTGGGGTCGAGCCGCCGCTCGGTTAGATGGCACCCGCTCGATTCTTGCGCCCATCCTCACCGCCGTCAAGTACGGCTTTGGTTCTTGCTCAGATGTGGTGGAGAAAATGGACGAGCTGGAAAATCCACACTCGGTTTTTCCCCAGCGCACGCGTGCTACACGTACGTGTCGTGCGTCCTTGCTGCTAAAGTGACGTCTTTGTTTTCCACGTCAACAATTCATCAGATCCTCCTCTTGCTCCAGGTCGACCTTTGCTTGGGACGGCGAGCCGCCGTTAAGCTCGTAGCCGCCAACGTGCCCTTCGCACGCCACGAATATTTGGTGAATTTGGGATTTCCTGCTTGCACTTGAAAAGTAGAGGATGAGAGCACAAACGGGGACAGACAAATTTGTTCTGCAAAGACGGTCGCCGTCTACTTTTCATTGACGGTTTTGGCCGAGTTTCCTTCTTTGGACGTTTGTGAGTTTCAGAGCACGGGCGCAACGTTTCTGTCGGCGGCCCGATCATCTTTGTCTTTCTCCAAGTCCACTCAATGGACCTTTGCGCGTTGAGAAGCAGCCAGGCGGAGGACTCATCGGATTTGGAGTCACAAACACCTGGGACCCGCCGTTCCCGAAACGCTCCCAAAAGGTCGACAGAGGTCAGGCCGTCGCGATATTTTCCGCCGGACCACGATAACCTGTCAGCACTTCCCGGCGACGGGTGCACTCGCAATGAGATGCTAATCTCATTTCACTTCCTTCTTTCATTCTTTGACGACACCGCTCAATTGCATCGGTCCGTATATGCGGTCGCGGTAGCCGACATACCAAACATTCCGCGGATTCTGCTCTGTGCGTTTGTTTGCCACACGCTCTCCGGCACTCCGGATGCCGCAGTCCGCTGTGGGCTGCTGTCAGCGCTCCAAACTGGACCGTGGCTGAGCGGGCCAACGTCTTCATTCACCAACTGTCGCAATAATCTGCCACACCCTTTTATAATCTCGGCACTGGAAAATTTCACTCTGGGTGAGGGGGGGGGGTGGAAAGTGAGAGAGAGAAGGAAGGAGAGAAATCAAGAGAGCGAGAGAGAGGGCCTGAGGGAGGGAGACGGAGAGATGGAGAGGGAGAGACAGAGAGAGCGAGCCCCCTGCCCCCATGATGGTCAGGCAGATGAAACACACTCTCTCTCTCTCTCCAAGGTACAGGAGTTGGGGAGAGGCATTTATTTTAGCACCAAGTCCGCCAAGTTCCAAGAGCTGTTCACAGTTCTTTTAGTGAACCTTTTTGTTTTGAAAATGTGCAAAGGGGCAAAATGGCAGGACTGCCTGAGGGAGGGAGACGGAGAGATGGAGAGGGAGAAAGAAAGAGAGGGAGTGAGGGAGAGACAGAGAGAGCGAGCCCCCTGCCCCCATGATGGTCAGGCAGATGAAACACACTCTCTCTCTCTCTCCAAGGTGCAGGAGTTGGGGAGAGGCATTTATTTTAGCACCAAGTCCGCCAAGTTCCAAGAGCTGTTCACGGTCCTTTTAGTGAACCTTTTTGTTTTGAAAATGTGTAAAGGGGCAAAACGGCAGGAGCAGTCACTCGTGATCTTCTTCACAAGTATTTGTGAGCGGCAAAGTCACTTTTCCCTTTTTTGCATTGAACACTTGACTTTGTTCCAACACACTCCAAAAGAAAATGTCTCACAGCCGGGAGTCCCGGCAATCTCGTGTCCTTCGAGAAGCATCGTATCAATGAAGATATTTTGAGGAATCCAGTCAGCAGCTGTCGTCACTGTTAGCCGCAGAGGCGGCCCCGTGAGTGGATTGGCACATTTTGGAACCTTCACCAAGCAGCTCGCTTGAAGTCGCCTATCCTGAAACTTGGGCCTCATGCGCAACCGGACGGATGGTGACAAATTGAGTTTCCAAGAATGAGTTGGCTGTTGGCTTTTCTTTTGAGCATTTTGTCTTTCCTGTTCGGGTTGAATGCCCCGAAGCAGGTGGTGATGAGCACGATGCCATGCCGCCGGCCACACGTCTATCTGGACGTCCTTGGCCCATTTATACCAACGGCACCGGCACCATTAATAAATAGAGGGGGGGGGGGGATAATTAAATCCTTGAAGCTCATATCGCAGACTACCAGTTGTGTGAAGGGAGGCGTATCAATGTTTACCAACCCTTACAAATGGCAAACAAGCATGTCAGAACTGTGTGCGTGCGTGCGTGCGTGGACAGCAGCTGCTCCTCTCTGCGTGTCTCCGAGGACCAAGCGGGCCTCCGACTATTGTGGAAGGGCGTGTGTATGCGCATGAGTGTGTACGTTTGCTTTGGGAGGCATCTGAAGGGCACTTCAATGAGACGGCGAACACAACCATCAAGTCAGGGAAAGTCCAAACAGCAGCGACACAAGCACGGCAAAAAGAATCCAGTGCCTCCCTCCAACGTAACAGGAAAGGAGTTGGATTTCGTTCCATGTCATCGGTTTGGTGCAGTCCTCATGATCCAAAAGCTCGAGAAGAATGAAGACAGGGCTCCACTTTGTACATCTCCTCGAACAATACTTACAAAGCCAAAAAGTGATTCTGTTAGAGCAAATTCGACGACGTTCATCTTGTCTATGGATGGGTAATTCGGTTTGAAGGGGGTTTCTTTTGTTCTCCTCTCAGACCGCAGAAGAAACAATCGCCTCACGGACTGGGAGAAGGGGGAAGTCATCACATCGGAAACCAAGACATTCCAGAAACAGATCGAGCGAGAGGCGGCGATCAAATTAAGCAAGCGTGGAGACGGGATCATCAACAGGGATGACGAGGGGGGTCACGTGCTCCTGCGCATCTGGAACACATCGTTTCAAGGGCGGCAGCGGGGGGGTTGCGGTGCCGCCTTGACCTTGGCCGGGTCGGGGAGCCTCATTTGGAAGGTTTCCCGACCTGGTCCGCCGTTTTTCGAGATACGGCCCCGGCGAGCGGCGACAGCTCCAACGAGGGCCGAAGCGACGGCCCAAACCGTCAGCCGGGCAAGAATTTTTCTGCCTCTACCACGGCGTTGATTGTGGCCACCCCGCCCGCGCCGGCGTTTTCCACCGTTCCATCGGCTGCCTGGAGTCGGTCGGGGGTGCTTGGCAAAGCGCCATGCGGCGCTCGCTGCCAAATGGGCCTGCGCACTCCCGGTCGCCTCCTGAGAGTGGATGTCCTTCTTCTACCTTTTCTGTCAGGGCTTCACGCCCGCCGAGGTGACCCTCGGCCATCGGCGGGCGGCTGGGCTTTCGCGGCCATCGGCTCGGATCAGATGACTGATGTTGAGTCCTCCGCGGCATCCCTCATTGTGTCCCTCTCGGCGGACCGTGCGGTGCTCTCACCCTCGGTGTAGGGTGACAGAGGGCCTTGTCACCAGGTCCCATCATGCCGGTGCGCGCATTGGTTGTGCGAGTAACTCCTTGGCTCAACTTCGGTTTGCCGTGCAGGTGGCCAATGGGTCGAGCGCCATTTCTTTTGGCGACGCGGCTCCGCAAGCCTTTGCCCTCATGTCTTGGGAACAAGTCCACTTGCATCAGAGAGCTGCTCTGTGATAAACAAAGAAGTCAATTCAACAGTGCCCATGCTAACAATTTTTTTAATGAGCAGAATGGACAAGAGCACCACAAAATAATCAAATCGAGATATTAAAATAGAAATATACCTTAAGTATCTACAAATGTTGATTCTCACTAAATACAAGCGCGTGGGAAAATGATGGCCCACCTACACCAAGAGTCGACCACCCAAAAACGTTCTCGACCCTCAAACCCACGTGAACGAGCATTCTACACGCGGAATTCATCATGTGACCTTGATCACAAGATCCGTTTTCTTACCCAGAATACCCACGGCAGATGCCTTGTGTGCAAAACGGGGGGGCGCACACGCGGCTTACTTTCGAGATGCAAACAAGCTCATTAAATGCATGCCGCCGATGGACAACAAACAAACAAGAACAGCCACGTGCAGTGTCTATTTAAGCAGCTCTTTAAACTCTAATCCTCACTTGTCACTCATGAAGACTGGGCACCTGAATTCTACTGCGGACTGCAAGTGTCGCGGTGGCAAGAGGGTTGAGTGTTTTGGGCCAGGAGGGAGACGAGACGAGGAAAGGGGAGTCTCGATCTGCCAAGCGTTTTGCACATCGTCAGCCGCAGTGCGCGGGATTTCCCAAAGTCACATTTTGGGCCCCGATGGTGACAGCCGCATAGCTTGGCAGTCCTTCCACGGGCCTTATCGGAACCCAAAACCACCAGGTGCCCGAGTCATCTCTGTGACGTTTGGATGCTGCTACAAAGGAAAAAAAAAAAAAAGAAAAAAAAGAAGGCTCGGCTATCCACAAGTGAAGATTATGTTCGCGTGGGCTCAAAAGGTGCGTCGGATTTTCGTCCTTTCTTAATTTAAGAGGAAAAAAAAAAAGTCGGGTATCGATTCCAGGTCCTGTGCGGCGCATGACGAGTGCAGGCATTTTTGTTCAATGATAAACAGCACCATCTAGTGGTCATCAAAGCGCACCACCTTTTTACACGTTTGCCAAGCAGAACCGCTTTCCTCTCGAGACTTCCTGCATCTGGATGCTTTTTGAGGTCCGCGACAGCTGACGGATGGTCATTTTAGTGCGCATTGTGCTGTCGCGTCACAGTGGCTTCAGCTCTGAGTGACCTCCACAGTCCGGATGGTCAAGAGGGCTGAAGACAGGCTTCGGGTGGACTAGCGGGAGGCTGCAGGGTGGAGTACTTCAGGGGAACATCCAAACCCACCAGGGGGCCCACCGCGCTCAGCCATGTCAAAATGTAGTTCATTTGCCTACACGCGGACACAAATGCACAAAAACAGAAATTAAGTATGTGACGCACACGCGCCCATATATGCACAGGTGTGTGTGTGTGTGTGTGTGTGTGTGTGTGTGTGTGTATATAACGAAATTTTGTCCAGCCATGAACATTGTGGAAGAGAGCAAGCCGTTTGGAATCCTTGAGATTGGGAAATCATTTGAAAAGTCCACGCAAGGACTGACCAGCAGTGTCCATCATATGGAATTGAGCAAATGTGCAGATCGGAGGTTTGCAGCGGACGCCGGCGATACGCAAGAATACGAATCTCGATCTTACCCATGTTGCTCTCTTTCCAACTGCAGGACCGGTCTCATAAATTCCTCCGTTTTACAGGGATGGAGCATGAAGAAAGGCTGACCGAGCAGGGGATGCTCCTGAGGCGGACGCACAAAACAAACAAAATACGTAAGCAAGAGCCAAGAAAGGCCCAGCTTGAGGCTCACATTGAAGGAGCGAGTGACAGAGCCGAAGGCTACCTGCTGCGTGATGGTTGTCAGCGGGCTGCGCTGAAGCCGCGACCTGAAGCTCGGATGGACGCAAGACCACACTTGGTCCAGAGAAAGACTCCTCCCCTCTGACACAGAGACACAAGAAGGAAAACGGGTGCAACAAAGCCGGTGGAAGCGAGCGACTCGATGTTGTTTAAGCCATCAAATGGAGACGTGCAATCCACAGACGTACGCTCCACCTTCCGAGAAAATCCCACGCGCCCATTTTTATCGCACAAGCACTTTGGGCTAAACGACTCCTTTTGGGTTTCTCGGCGTGAGACCCTCTTGTTCGTTTCGGCAATTGCGCTCTGAGGCCGGCGATATGCCAAGCCGGCAGAGTGCAACGCCGCCTGCCGGTCGGGCGGGCGCGAACCAGAACTCACCCAGAGTGGACGCTCGGAAATAGAGCACGGGCGCCATGTAGCTGCAGGAATACAGGATGTGGTACTCCAACCGAAGCACGCGACTGCCGCCTCCAGACACGACGCCGTCATCGTAGCCGGGATCCAAGTCGTCGTGGGTGCCATCGACATCCGCTTGCTCGGTTGCGGCGGCCTGGGGAGGAAGACGGCAAGAGTCTTTGGGTCGCTATCCATCCCACCATTCACCTGTTCTCGTTGACGACATACGCAGTGGCAAGAAGCGGGCGACTCTTTGTCGGAACGAGAGCCGTGAGGATTCCACGTGGGCCCGGAATTGACGGAGACCGAGCGGAGAGCGGTCTTTCTCATGTAGCCCTCCTCCGAACCCTAATGATGAGCGCACACGCGTCACACGCGATCTGTCGGGCCGCGACCCGTGCACAATTCCTCACCTGGAGGGGCTCCCAACTCCAGCCATCTCTCAAGCGATCAGACAGCTTAAGGAAGCGCCAACAGCACTGACGGAAGCTCTCCTCGCCCAGCAGACACGCGCTCATTTCTGCACGTCAAACAACAGCTGACGTCATGAAGACAGCGGCGATAAACCCTCAAGTATTGACAGCGATTCACCTCTCCCACGTTCGGTGTCAGCGAGAAAATGTCGACCAAATTGGTTGACCGCAAAAAGGGGGCCACCTCCAAACTACGAACGGATGAATCAACTATTCGGATTTTTCAACCGTATTTGTGATGCCCGGAACCAATCTTTCCCGAGGGACATTTGTTGCTCCACTCTCCGGCCAACAACTATAACCATTGCCGTATTGTCCCTGGGGTGAGGATTGTTTCGGATGCATTATATCAAATCATCAAAATAGATAGATGATGTGTCAAGGTGTTAACTAGTCCGGCTGGATTGCAGGGCAGACAGATCAATTGAAGACGTGCAACTTTCCGCCTCGAATGTCTCGCACTTCTCAGTGGTCCAAACGGAAGAAGACAGGCGGCTGCTCGGGAGTTCCGTGGCCGGGTAAATTCATCGTTCCCATTCATCAGGAACAAATAAAAGGTCGATACAGTTCACTTCAAGTGCCCATTTGGAATCCGTGGGTGTCGGCTCAATATGACAATGAAGGAGCTGTCACTTTCAATGAAGCCAGCCATCGTGAGCCTGAACAATTCAAACAAACCCATCAGAGTGATGGTGACAACACTGGCTTTTTAACCATCTCTCGTCTTTCTTCTCATATATGTGTGTGTGTGGGGGGGGGGGTGCGACACGACGAAAGCCTTAACCCATCCAAAGAAACAATGATTGCATTTTGCGGGGGGACATTAATAATCTCCCCAAAGCATGTAGGAAAACATGTTTGTTCATGGTCGCACGAAGCAAATTTTGAACTTTGGGGCCCAAACGTCACAAAGTATATTCACGCAATCCAACAAAAGTGAAGGAAAAGCGACATACAGGTTCGAAGATGGAGCTTTCCGAAGAGACAGTTGGACGCGGACCAACTTCGTTGCGACCTCCGAACTCGAGGGGGCGAAAAGGGGAACTTTAGCGCCATTTACGGAGGGAGCGAAAACGACGACAGCTCATTCGCAAAGCAGAGAAGCGAAATCTCAAAACGGAGCAGCGGGACCGCGTTCCTGCCATAGTGGTCGCGCTCACGAAACAACAAAGCGATGCATTAACTCATTTGCGTACGATAAATGCTCTCGAGCTCAAGCGCTACTCCGCGTAGGCATTGAGTGGTAATGTCCCCGGAAATGTGTTTGTGACAGATCCCAAACGATTGCTCTGTCACAGTGAAGTTGCGGCTTGCGGTTGTCGTCGACATCGCCCCCGAAAGGTTGCGACTTACCGTCGGTCGACTTGAACTGGAGGAGCCGGGGCACGAAGGGGATAAACAAACCGCTCCGCCGCGACTTGTATCTGGTCACGTGACAACCGACGTCGGAACCCTAAACGTCGCCGCCTCCCGGCTGCGCCCGGAAGTCCACCCTGTGCTGCATTCAAGGAAAATCGGAAGGATCCCCTTCGCATTGTCGCACTTCCGCCGTCAGAAGGAAAATTGCCATGAAAAAAGTAGACTGGTGCGGCCTTGAAAGGGAAACTATTTCCTGATTCCGATCGAGAGGCAGTTTGGCAAGGCTCGAATTTGGCAAAGTCGGTCCCTATAAATAAAAGATCTTAAAAAGGGCCCGTTCTACCTACAAACAAACACATTTTTAAATCATAAATATCATCGATCCTGTGGAAAATTTGACGTCGTGAAAAGGCATTCCTGTTGATTTGGGTCACTTCCTATTAATGTTAAGTCCTTCTGTAATCATAACATAAATAAATATATAGCAACAACAAGAAGCGCTTCACTTTGACATCCCAACACAAATCTTCAATATTTGTTTGAGTCTAATATTTTATGGATGTGTATTTGTCTATAAGCCTGAGGGAGAGGCTCAGCAGTTTGATATGGTGTGATGGGACTTTTTTTTGGTCATATCTTGGATTTATCTACTACTGGTTTACAAGGGGTAAGACCAACTTGAAATATGGATTTGGGGCGACAGGCGATTGGCAGGCATGAATGAAGATACATGACAGATCAAGAGTTTGATGACAAGGTCAAGAAAAAAAGCCATTTATTGCAATAATACAAAAAAAGAGCCTAAACGTCGAACGTTTTTATTCCCCCGTCAAGTAAAAGTGAGCGTTTCCGAGGCAAAACGCAGCCGACACGAAGCTCTTTGCCGAAGTCAGATCCGAGAGTTTGGTACTGGGGGCAGGTTACCAAAACAATGCGGCAAATGCAAACCTTGATACGAACAGAAGCAAAAGACGGGAACCCCGCACAACGATTTCCGCCCCAAATTCTTTTCTGACATTGTTGACGCATACAAAAAAATAAAATAAAATAAAAGTACCACAGAACTTTGCAAATCCAAATCTAATCTTGTGGACAGAACTGACAGCAAAGTATGAGGACGCCGCAACAATAACACGAGTGCTTTCTTCACGCTGACAGGGACTCCGCCGGAAAGACGAGAATGACAGGACAAGTGTATTGAAGTGCGACATACCGAACACGTGCTCGGATGGATACTCGCCAAGCCTCGTACCAGCTTCCCTTCACGTTCGAAAGTAATGCAGACCCAAGGTTCCTCAGCAGCGCCAAGTGACACTTAACAACGGGTTTCCAAAGTGGGGCACCCTGAGAGAGATTCCCTCAAGAAAACATCTCCGACAAACGAGGGGGCCGGGCATCGATACTGCTCATGCGGATCCAATTAAAGGGACTCCATCGCCGCCGGGCGAAATGGGAGACGGAGGGCTGAAATCAGAGACACCAGACTGAACCCGAAGCAACAAACACGCCTGGAAGGTAGCACGTCGATGGACGTGACCCAACGATGTCGCAAGCAAAAGCCAAGGGCAAACGCCTGAACGGTCGGAGACCACCACGCCCCTCCGCAACCTTCCTACTGCATTCTGAACGTGGCCGATCACGAGTATTGCTTTAACTTCAGGTCCGTGAATGACACACGTGTGCATGGGCATTCATTTTCTCCCGGTTAGACCTCGGTGACGGCGACATTCGGCAAGCAAGCCGAGGTCGCCGGCCGAAGCTCGAGTTTGAGCGCCTCAAGCACCCGCAGAGGTCCGAGACAGAAGCGGCACTGATCTCTTCAAAGTCAGAACCTTCAAAAGCATTTCAAAGACGGTGAAAGAATGAGGACGATGGCGTGCACGTGACTGCCGACGTGTCCTTCTCTAGTCCAACATGCGTTCAAGAAAAGGAAATGCTGGTTTTCAATCGAGGAGGCCAGTGTCGCTCCAACTATGCGCACGCGCCACAATATTTCAATCTTGTCCCCCGCTGTCCCTTTTCACTTCAGTGACCTGTTGACAGTGCAACACAAACGTTTCTCCCGGTTACATTTTTTAATCCGGATGCGTAAAGGGCGATGCTCGAGATGGTTCTGCCTCTACCCGAGGGATCCGGTGAACAAAAATGGCATCGACAATCGCTCATGTGGAGCCGCAACACATTTAGTGGCGCATTTCCTCAGACGGCGGCCGGGCGGCGTTCGTCTACGCGACAGCCGGATGTACACGATCCCTTTCTGAGCGCGAGTCTTTTCTTTCCTGACTCTCAAAAGTGCGACACGGTTAGAGCGACCGCTTCTTTCCTCACCTTCCGTTTGGATCAACATACCGTATTGGCCCGAATATAAGACGGCCCTGATTATAAGACGACCCCCTCTTTTTCATGACTCAAGTTTGAAAAAAGACTTTTTGAACACCAAATTAATTTTTATCCAGAAAATAATTACAGTACATCTGAAAAAAATGATTACACAATGTATTTGAGATCGGCCCTGATTATAAGACGACCCCCTCTTTTTCAGGGTCGGACGATATTTGCCCGTAGAATTCAGCGGCGAGTTCCGATTCCTGCTGATCTGACGACGTATGACGCGCTACTCTCCGCGACGCTAATACGCCGTCGTCTACACGTCCACGATGGAAACGGTACCCCAAATTCGAGTGTTCCGCGCCAAACGAGCCCAAGCCCACATCGCAAGGTTAAATTTCCGCCACATTCGTAAATGAATGGCTTCTGGTTTTTGAAATTAAAATTAAAATAAAATTAAATTACATCATAACTTCTACTCAGCTGCTGGTTAACGTGGCCGATCTTCTACCCACTTTTCTCCAGATTGTCGCTACGTTTCTCCATTTTCTGTTATCTCTTCCATTATTTTCTTCTCTTTTCCTTCTTACCGCTATTTTTTATTTTTCTTCTTCGTTCTACCGCTATTTTTATTTTATTCTTCGTGGCAGCGGTTCACTTTGGCCTGGGGAGTCAAGTTCAGCATTCGCTTCAATGATGTCTGGCGCCATCTAGCGTCGTGAATGGGTATAATGTCGAGACCCCAAATATAAGACGACCCCCACTTTTTCAGTCTTATTTCAATGCAAAAAACACCGTCTTATATTTGGGCCAATACGGTACCTGCCAGAACAGACGAAAGTGCGGTGTCAAACTATGCAGCCCAAGCCCACATCGCAAGGTTAAATTGCCGCTGTCCTCGTTGGCATCAACCCTTTGAAATGGGCAAAAGCGGACACGCGTCTTTCGCAGGACGGTGATGGCACGTCCGGTCACTCGGAACGACAGCCATATTGTGTTGTCGTTTTCTCAGAGGGAGGAAAAAAAGAGAGGCCTTCGAGCGTCAATGACGAGCGTTTGAGGAAATGCGGCGCCTTTGGTGTGAACGTCAAATCTCTCAAGTAGCCATGACGGTTCCCTCCCGGTTTTGCGGAGACTCGTTTGGGCCACCGTGTAAAAACAATGCACGTCACTTGACCAATTTGAACAGCTGAGGCGGCAAGAGCGCCGTTAGCGCGCAAAGGCCGCGTGAACTTCATTTCACTGAATGAGACGGGAATCGAAGGCCGGTCCTTTGATCAGGTGCGGCCGGAGGCGTTTTCCATCAGCGTCCCCAAGGACTTCCCGACGAGCCGCTTCATGTTCATCCGTGTCCCGCCAAACTCAATTTTGGGCGTGTTTGGGGGGGTGGGGCCATTCTGTAATTTGGCTTGGCTTTCCCAACAGCCTTTGCCTCGGTCCGTCCCATCGGGAGACGAGAGGCAGAACCTAGACGTGCGACACCTTTTGCGTCTCTCTCGCCTGTTTGATGCTGTACAGCCATTTAATGACTCGTGCGTTGCGCTCCACGGCGGAGATGCCGTAAGGGACTCGCTGGCCGGCCTCGTCCTCCTCGTCTTCTCCCTCGTCGCCGTCCGACAGGCCGTCGTTGGAGGAGCGCCGGGACCGGTCGCAGTCCGAGGAAATCATGGAGGCCGATCTGAAGTTCAGGCTTACGATGTCCGAATTGGCCCGAGCAAAGTTCTCGGGGCCGACCGCCTCCAGCTCCTCGGGGTCGAGGCCGCAATAGTTAAAAAAACGCTCCACGTCAGCTCCGGCTCGGGCGTACCTGTCCGACAGGTCTGACTTTGACCTGTGCAGAGAGGAGCGGCGCGCGACGGACCAAGTCGGCTCCGGCTCCAGGCCGGGATCCGTCGGCGGATTGGCGACGGCGGCGTCGCCAATCTCCCGCGCCGGCGGCTGAGGGCTCGCCTTGCTGGCAGGTGACGGCGAGAGGCTGGGCCGAGGGGGCGGCAGCGACAGCGAGAGGGCGGGAGGCGGCAGGAAAGCGGGGT